TAGATTTTTTTTTTTAATAATTTTTTTTTTTTGGAGCTTATAATTTTTTTCCTGGTTTTCCCACTCCATGTGCAACAGGTTCTCTGCTCCTTCCTCTTGGAATAACTTTCTGATGGGAAATGCTTTTGTTAAACGTGAAAAATAAATTCTTTTTTTAATTGCTATCCACCTTCCTGTCCCTACAGCAGGGTGAGTAAGCCCAGCTCGGTGTCCGGGCGCTCTACCTCTAGATTTATATTCTGGGTTGTGTTTGGGCTCTCGGGTCCTTCATCCTTTTCTGCCGCCGCTTCTCGCGAAGGGTTTTCACATCCGAGGGATAAGGATGAAGGCAGGTCATCCATCCCAAACACCCTTTCGTAGTTCTGGATGAGAAATTCCACAATTTGGGCTTGATACCCAGAGTCAACGAGGCACGACATGGAGCCATCGCTCCCCGAGCCCGGTCGGATCAAGGTTGGCCCAAATATTATGCCCAAGTTGTTTGGGGACATCTTGTTCTCTTCGTATTTTTCTGCCACCCTGGGGAAGGGAAACACGACTGTTAGGGGCTTCCCAGCCCGAGGACACGGACGGAACACACCCAAAACCTCTGGATTTCCCAGCAGGGAGAGGAACCCCATCTTTTCCAGGGAGCAGAGCTCTGGGAAAACCCTGGAGAAACATCTCAGAAGTTGCCAGGGTGACGCACTCTGAATAAGAGCGGCTGCTTCTCATGAGTTCAGAATTGGGGGGGAAAAGGGGCTTGATTCGTGTTTTTCCTTGGCCCTCTTGCTCTTTAACTACGAAATTGAATCAGTGAGGACCTTCTGGTCCTTCACCATCATTAGGATGGTCACCTAATTGCTGCCAGATGGTCCTTTCCATTAATTTTTGAATTGATTTTTGAATTTGAATTGATTCTTGAATTTTGAAATAATTTTGAATTGATTTTTGAATTTTGAAATAATTTTTGAATTGATTTTTGAATTTTGAAATAATTTTTGAATTTTGAATTATTTTTTAAATTAATGGAATCCATGAATTAATTTTTTTACCCTCCTCAACTGCTTGCTGCGCTCTCCCAGCTCAAGGAAGCCCAGACGTCCTCCTCGAACACGTTTGGTGCTGCGTTATCTGCTCCTTGGGCAACAAGATCTCCACCGGGATCTCCCATGGTTGGACCTGACGCTAACCAGGGTGACAACCAGCAGCTCCTCACCTGTACAAATGTGCGATGAGGTGCCGCAGGGTGTTGTAGTTACTCCCCGGCAATTTGCTCAGCAAATCCTTCATGCTCTGGATGGGATCGGAAGGGATGCCGGCGCAATCCGACTTTTCTTCCCCAGATTTTTGCAAAACTTTGGCGAGCGCAATGAGGTCGTTGTAGAGCTGAGGAAGCAGCACCGGCGCCGAAAGCTGCAGCGAGAGGGGAGTAAAAAGGCGTCGTTACTTCATCCCCAGGCTGAGACCTGCCCTACGGAGGGGGTTTGGTACCCACCTCCTTCAGAAAATGCTTCAGGACCCCCGTGATGTCGTGGGGGGAGTGCTCAGAGAGTTCCACCAAGCTCCGGCCGTTCTCAAATGCTTGGCACAGCTTTTCCACCCGGGCTTTGGATCCGCTTATCCGATAGATCCCCTGCGTGGTTCAGAGGGGGAGAGATCAGGATTTCAGATATGGAGAAAAGAAAAAAAAAAAAAAAAACAAAGGAAGAATGACGGACTCCTCACCTGCACCCCCAGGGCACGAGCTTCGATTTCCGAGGTGCATCTCACCACTACGAAGGGAACTTCCTCAGGGAAATCTCGAGGAACCTGCGTGAAGTCGACGCCAAAAAGAGGCGCGCGGTTGGGCAGCTTCTTGCGGCCGCAGGCGATGAGCAGGTTCTCCAGACACTTCTTGTGGCACGCCAGGAAGCACTGAAATTGCAAAAACCACCCGAGTGATGCTCTGGTTGAGGTCCAGCTCTGCAGGAGCGGCTGGATTTGGAGAACTGGTGGGACACTGGAAGAGGTTGCCCAGAGAAGTTGGATGCCCCATCCCTGGAGAGGTTCAAGGCCAGGTTGGACGAGGCTTGGAGCAACCTGAGCTGGTGGAAGGTTTGGGTTGGAACTGGATGATCTTTGAGGTCCCTTCCAACCCAAAACAGTTGACGGTTGGACTTGATGATCCTTGAGGTCTTTTCCGACCAACTGTAATGATTCTGTGATTCTATGCCTTCTCCTCAACCACCAAAGTCCCACCAACCCCAAGAGGTTGGCCAAGTGGCAACTGGTGGCTTGCTCAAGGACGGAGAAATGTAAATTTGCGTCATGGAGAGGAAGAAAAAGCCCAAAACTCTGCAGAGGGGCCCCCCCTTGTTCCTGCAGACCTTCAGCAG